ATTATAATATATATATATATATATAATATTAAATATTATAAATATGATATAATATATAATATTGTAATAATAACATACTTACGTATATTTCTCCTACATTTTTATATCACGTATCACTTTAATAAAATATCTATTAGATAATTTTATATCTTATAATATTTAATCGATAAATAATTGGAATTTTTTTTTTATTTATCGGCAAAAACCAATCGGTCATAGGGAAGATTAAAATGTTATTTTTATTTTCTTATTTATTGAACATACGTTCACTTTTATCAGCGATCGAAAAATCTAACGGGTTTTTAGTTGAACGATCAAAAGGAACATAGAAAATTGTGAATGTAAACGTTTTAATGGGAATTTTGAATCAAAAAAAAAATAACGAAAAATAAGGTCTGCTTGATTTTTTACGTCTCATTCAGTTTCGTATCATTTTACGTTCGTTTAAAAATTCATGAAATATTTTTTTTTTTTTTACTTTTACAGAGAACGTAATAAAATGGACTTACCTTTTTCTCACTCATGTTTCCAAGAGACACACGATCGAGTTTTAAAAGTAATAAATTTATACTTACCGTCGAGTAAGCGGCATAAATAATGGAAAAAAATGTCAGCAAATAGATCGTAAAAAGAAAAAAACCAAAAAAAAGGGAAGAAAAATATATATATATATATATAAAAAAAAAAAAAAACCAACAAGGTCCGAAGACCATTCTCCTGACCTCGAATAAAAAATAGAAAACAAAAAAAAAGGATACATTAAACTGTTATCGAATCAGAAGGTGTTACAGAAGACAGGTGTGTGTATGTGTATGTGTGTGTGTGTGTATGTTTAGTAATTTTATCTGAGGGTTTTTTCTTTCTTCTTCTTCTTTTCCTTCTTGTTATCGTAGATAGAAAATAAAAAAATCGACAAAACAACGTCAATATTATATTGTCAAAATATATTCAATGAAAAAATCATCTTGTAAAATTAGACAATCGTTCCATTCGTTTACATGGATATTTAATAATAGAAGTAATAATAATAATAGTCGTCGTCATCATCATTATTACCGGTTGGTTGTTTAAAAACACGACCGCTACCGAATGCAATTATAAAACCTTAGAACCTATAGCGGTGCCTTAATAAGAACTTCGAGGAACGTCCCTTTATAATATATATATATATATATATGTATATATATACACAACAATTATGATTATTTTTTTAAGTCAAAGATTTAATCGCTCGTTTGGTTATTTTTTTTTTTTGATCAACTACCATTGCGCAACTGTTTCAGATTTTTTTTTTATTTTATTTTTTTATCATTATTAATATTTATTATTATTAATATTATTAATATTATTATTATTATTATTAATATTATTATCATTATTTTATTATTATTATTATTATTATTATTATTTTATTATTATTATTATTATTATTATTATTATTATTATTATAAATATCGAGTGTTATATTATTATCTAAAAAAAAAAAATTCAACGTTTCGTTTTTTCTCTTTTCTATTCCTTTATTTTTTTTATTTTTTTTAATTTTTTTTTTTTATGTAGAATACATTTATTTAAATTACTAAAATTCTTTCGCGTTTAAGTGAAAGAAATATTATAATTTAATATATTTATTTAATCTAATATTTAATATATATATTATATTATATAATAATATATTATAATATATAATATATATATATATAATAATGAATTTAAACATTTGTCGCGAAATGAAAGTAAATCGGAAAAAAAGGGATTCGCAAATCGAAACGTTGAATTTTGGGTTAAAAGGGCAGGGGCAGGGGCAGGGTAAGGGTTTGGGCATGGGTGTGGGCATAGGGAAAAAGGGGGTTCAGAGCTCGCTGCATCGTCATAAATCGTAATCGTTTAGCTAATGCATTTTAATTAACTCTGGAGCGATTACACCAATAAATAGACATCGTGTTTAGCTAATTACATTTGATTTCTGCAGAAGGCTCTCCTCGTTTAAGCATTCTTCAGAAATATTTTCATTTTATTTTTTAAACGAGACAAAACTCTCTCTCTCTCTCATTTTTTTCTTTTATTTTTCTTCTTCTTCTTCTTTTTATTATTATTAATAATATTATTATTAATATTATTCTCCATCTTCTATTCCTCTCTATACAAGAAAATAATATTCGCGGACGTTCGCCGATTAGACTACAATAAATACAAGGAATTGTTTTTTTTTTTTTCGTTTCTCGACTATTTTCAATTATCTTTACCTACTTCATCCATCCATCCATCCATCCATCCATCCATTCATCCTTCCATCCATCCATCCATCCCTTCGTTTAAGTTTTAAACGTAATCGAGGGGCATTATAAGTTTCTAGAAAATCGATAATAATATTCCCGTGTATTGTGGTACTTGATTGGTTGTTATTTCTTTTCCATTCAAATAGAAAAGAAAAAAATAAAATGTTCTTACTTGTGGGAAAAATTTCCCCCTTGTTCGAAAGGATTCATCATTTCCTTTACGATAAGAACCACAAAAGAAAAAATATTATAGTGTTGCTAAATAAAACAAATAACCAAAAAAAAAAAAAAAAAAAAA